GCGGCGTCGGACTCGCGGCGCAGCTCCTGCTCGAGCTCCGCCGTCTCCTTGCGGATCTTCTCGAGGGCCGCCTCGTGCGCCGCGCGCCGCTCCTCCTCGCCGTCCTTGAGCGCCTCGTCGAGCCTGCCCGCGAGCGCCTGCGTCTCCTGCGCGAGCGACGCCTTGTACTGCGCGCGGTGGTCCATGTGCTGGCGCTGCACGCCCCGCGTCTGCTCCGCCTCGACGCGCTGCGCCTGGCGCGCCTCCCGCGTCGCCTGCGCGAGCGCCGCGCGGTACTCCTTCTGCGTCGTCCGCTCCGCGGCCTGCTTCTTCTGCTCCTCCGCCTTTTTGTACTGGAGGTCGCTCTTGCCCTTGGCCGACCGCAGCAGCTCGGCGACGGCCTCGACGGGCGCCGGGTCGAAGGCCCCCTTGCTGTAGATGCCCGGCGGCGTCGGCGCCTCGCCCGCGGCGGGCTCGGGCTCCGGCTCCGCGAAGGCGAGCCGGTGGCCGCAGAGCAGGCCGCTGCCGGCGATGACCGCGTAGGACCCGCGCCGCGCGAGCAGCGACGCCATGGAGACGAGCGGCGCTGCGCCGGGTCGGCGGCGACGATAGGTGACACGCGCCGGCGGCACTCGACGCTGCCTCGCCGATCCCCGTCGCAGGAGGCTAGGAAGGGCCGGCCCTTATTCCGGCCCCTACCGGGGGTACCTCGACGGGCTGCAAGGTCGCCTCCGCCGTGGCTGAAACTTTGTGTACTTCCGCTCGGTGGTGCTGCGGTTGAGCCCACGGGCCGGCTTCGCGAACCGTGAGGGGCGTGACGACGCGCTAGTGTCGCAAAAACAGCGATTTTGGGGGGGTGTCCCTAATTCCGGCCCCCCCTTGTAGCGCGCGCTTAGCGCAGCGAGCGGCCCCATGGGCGCGATCCATGTTCTCCCAGCACCCCAGGGGGGCGAGGCGGGTGCAAAAGGCCGCCGACAGACCACAGGCGACGCTGGTCGCGGCTGCGATGGGCCATTTTGCTGGGTTTCGTGTGGTGCGGTGGCCGCAATCTCAGCA